AAAAAGATTAAATGATACATCGTTCAAATACGCGCTACCTATTTACGAGTTGTTGTTCGAAGAGGATGAACGCTTCGAGGCTAAATCAGGATACGGCGGAATATGTACAACTAGATGCGAATGCTTCGAAGGCTGTGCATCGTTGTCCCCTCAACCCTCGCAGCTACCGTCAAGTTCAAGGATGCCGTCCAACTCTAGGTTCACCGGAGACCGGTACGTATACGACTAAACTAAGCGATAGAAAGAGATTCCCCTCTTTCGAGATCCCTCGACCAGATAACATACATTGTTTCAAAAGTACGTAGTGCATCGTTTCGCTACGCGCCTGGTAAACGACGAAGAAACACGATTCGGTAAAAGCAAGGCCGTACCAGAAATTCTTTGGCTCGATATTCTTCCACTTTTTTACGATCCAGAGCCCGATCGTTATATCGACATCCTCCTGTTCTCGACGATCGTCAAGTTCAAGGATGTCTTGACTGGTTAGCATCGCTGCAGACACGCGAGCTGTAAGGGTAGAATGGTTTCCAGTTCGTTCCTTTATTTCTCGTTGTTCGTAATGCGCATAAAATTCAAGCTGTGACGTTCGACCAAGATAATTATATCGTATCGAGCTATTTCGACCGAAATTATGAGGGACGAGAGGTAAGTTGGAAACGATATTTTTAGACGACGCGACGATGCGTATAATTTTCCCATTCGTATCCCGAATACGAGTACTCGTGCCATATGGTCCCAGATAATACCCCGTCACTTTCGAACATACTGTTTCGTCGCTAGCTTGCCGTGTTCATGGAATAGAATATCGCGTTTCGCGAAGGGTACGCAACTTTATGGGAGCGTAGAGAACGCGTACGTAGGTACAATTGCAGACAAATTTGAACAGAGCTCGACGAGATAGCGCGAAATACTGAAACGCGTAAAAATGGCAACTCGTACATTCCGCGATGTAAAGCGGTTGTAAATTCTTCGAGGGAACGAGACTCGAAAGTGGTTAAGAAACGAGCCAACACCTGCCGCTGCTTTCGCGATCGTTGTTTCTTCAAATTAAGGGCCAAGAACGCGATGCTAATGTCTCGGGAAAAACGTTCATACTTTTCATTCGATAAACTGGGTCCAAACCTACTTGCAACGTTCTAAAACGAGGATCGATTTATTCGACATACTTGGAAAACATAATTTCCGCGACAATGGAAAATCGAGAAGAACATCGATAATGATCTGGTGGGAAAAAGGTCTCGTTATCGAGACGCTATAAACAAGTCGACCTCGTTGCGATCCCGACGCATGAACTACGCCTTTGCCCTTAAGGGCTCCTGGCAACAATGCTTTCGCCTTGGTCCGAGCAGGATCTCCGTGGAGGATCGCGTACACAGGCGCCAATGGCGATGATGTAGGTGGATCTGAATGCGGCATAGAAGAGAAGGAGGTAAATAGCGAAAGGGGAAAAGAGAGAAAACTAGTGGACGATCTGCGAGGTTAGGCGCAGCCGCGGTGCAAGTCACTGCACTCCTATGCCCCGTTGCGCACCGCCGCGAAACCTCGGCCGCCCGAGCAGTCCTATTGCAGCCGGTTTACCGGCTCCGCGTATTTTTCATTGACAACGAGAGAAAATAGGATCTACCCTGTACTGCTAATACTCGACCAAGAAAAAGAACAGTTTACCCAACTATTAGAGTCGTCTTAAATAAGATTATGCGGATTGTAGGGACACGAGTACGCGTTGATGGCATCGCATCTTGTCCGTTTCCTCGGCGCAGATAAGCTTGCGAGCGACGCCTTAACGAATCGTCCTAATATCGAAGCAGGGAGACCGTCCCGCGCGATCTATCGATTCCTCCGCGGTACACGGTTTCGCTCCGAGAATAGAAACCGCCCCGAATGAGAGAACAAAACAGAAGATACGCGATTGCGCGGTATCTATGCCGGAGGACGAAGGAAGAACTGACTTTCCTGATGTCGAGCAAAAGTACGTTCCTCTATTCCCTATCTCGCGCATCGAGACACCGTAAGCTCCTCTCGCTCTCCCTCTCTCTTTGGCGATATTCCTGCGCATCTAGCCTCGAGTACTTCGAACGCGGAAGCTTGTTGCGGGGGAGTGCATATGCAGGATCGCGTCTTACAGACGCTCATCCGCTCGTCCGCTCGGCCGGTCGACCGGCCTCCTAGGAAGGTCGTGCCATTCAGCGGCCGTTCACCCGTCATCCCTTTCTTTTTCCCTTCTTCTCCTCCTTCTTTTCTTTACCTATCTCGAGTATACCCGATACAACCGCCATTGTTACTACACGTATACTAGAACCACCGAGCATCTGGTCTATCCTAAGGGAAAATAACTCCGTTGTTGGTTTCTTTTTCGCGACGCTTGCACGAAAGCTGGCATAGAAACCTTGATCTTTTCTTCCAAGTACGAGACGCGCACGGCGAAAGAATAGAAGAATATTCGCCATAACGATAAGGGAAAATACGAGGGACGCGTCGCGATACGGAACTATAGCGTGGCCGTAGCCGATTTAAACGCGAGAGATACGCGAGGGTGAAATAGGTACATTTACAATAGCTGTCAGCTGATACGATTAGCGTCTTAACGCTTTCATACTCGGTATATCAGCAAATGGTCTTGGCTTGGACGTTCACCTCTCGCCCATTTGTCCTCCTGCATCCTCTTATCTTTCTAACGCGTTCTTATAACCGGTCCTCAGAACGCGTTGATCGCACCAGCGAACGCCTACGGTGACGAATTAGCGTCGATGAAAAATTACGATCCCGCTAATAAATTCGTGTCCCCGGAGACGCGGACTCGCGGTGATTCGTAGATTTTCTCACGCGTCGGAGCGGCCGCGAGCCACGGCCTCCTCTTCCTAGACGATTTCTCTTCTTAATCGTAACGTATGTCCTCCGATCCACGTCCTTGGACAGAAGAACTCACGATCGACGCAACGCGAGCCTCGATAACCTCTTTGATTAGAAGAATTCAACAAGAAAGAGCCAGACGGCGCCAGCCTTTGCCGAGAAAAAGCGGTCGTGTTGAGCCGTTCTAATACTCGAATACCAGCCAACTTATGTATTTCTAGATGTTATAACCGTTCGTTCCATCGATGTTGACAGTTATACGAACGCGTCGTCTAATCGGAAAAGGAGCAGCTCGAAAATATTTATTACGAAGCAACGACGCGCGGTCGGAATATAAAAATAATTGTCTCCGACTCGCGCTAACGAACAACCGATCTTAGCCTTTTACCTGCAATAGCTTCCGCGAAACTGCTGCCGGCTAAACGCACCACTTAACGTTTGTTCGTCGTCGCGTTACACGAGCAAGCGATTATATTTTTCAGGTTTTAGAGGCCGTTAACGTCCTAGCGTAATTAAAGCAATTATCGATAGACACCGCGTTTCCGATGTTGGACGATCAAAGATCGTGGACGCGAGAAGCGGGCAGGTGGGTACTGCCACTATTATGTCGTGAGAAACTATGCGATTAATTTCCTGCTCCGCGAGTATACCGGCACGGCGTTACCAACGTACTTGCGCGAGTCCCGGTAGCAAGAAACACGTAAATGCGTTCAGCTCGTCGCGTCGATGATCTTCCAACAAACACCGGTCAACAGAATCACCGGTTCTCCATTTTCCGTCAAAGGAATTCGAGACGAACCAATAATTTCTATCCAATTCGCCATCGAGTTTAACGAATTATCTACAAAAGTCAACACGGGGCAAAGCGGTCTCGCTACCTGCTGACTCTCTTGCTCGGCCATAATCGATAATTCCGTTGACCACTTTATTACTTATTAGCTTATTATACGCGCCGATAATACATTGAAATTGATCGTTCTCGTCGAACCGATCCTCGTCGCTTGTTCCATCAAGGTCGACCGGTGCGTTCGCTACTAAATCGTTAGAACTATTGGAATCGCCAATCGATCGCGATCATTATTTCCTGAATTCGCGTTTAAAATCGAAACACGACGCAGGTCGTACGAATTTCTGCTCGAGATCGTGGAAATTTAATAGTCGAAATAGTCGCGTCGAGTGAGTAAGTCATAAGAGAAAACGGTTATGCGAGAAGAAGGTGACGTTTGCAACAGCTCGTATTATTATACCGGTTCGGTTATGGCTTGTAAGGTTGAATCGCGCTGGAATGTAGAGAGTTTAAGAGTGGTTCGCTCGGAGAGAGGATTTGCGATAGGCAACACCCGCGCCTTCACCTTCCTCCCTCTTCGCGACTTCGCAATAATCCCTTCTGCCAAAGAGTTGCCAGCTGCAGTCGTCCGTATCTTGTCTGCAGTCGTGGCGCACACTTGGGAACACCATGGCGTGTCGGGAATGCGGAAAGGACGAGTTTCTAGTACTTTTGTTGCGCGTATCTACCTGGTAACCTGAGACTCGTTGATGCGGTAGCTCTTCGAAAACCGCGTCCGCTTCTACAATCTTTTAGACCAGATTGTATTTGTTCTTATCAGATTCAAAGGCTTCCTTGGTTAGGCGGCTCCGGTTAACTTAGCCTGTTGCTATACGCGTTTAATAAACGAGCAAACACGAATCCACCGGATTTCTAACTAGATCGTCACCTTTAGAGGCGAGAACTTCGATATAATACAAACACCTGTGGAACTCGAAAGTCGTTTTGGATCGAACGTACTTTGCTTACTTTGCTACAACCGCATCAGCAAACGACTTGCAGCTACATTTTCGTAGCAGGTTATCTTCATCGCTTCGTTTTCGCGATTAACATCAATAGCACGTTCGAAAATTTGGTCGAACGTTTCTATGCCGATCGCTCGTCGATTTACGCGAAAATAAATGCGTCCAATCCCTATGCAGACGTCCAACTTGCTCGTAAAGTAATGCTCGATAGTCTATAGAACGGATCGCTGCCACTATTACGATCGCCATTAACTATTTTACAGGTTTATCGTGGCTCGATCTCGAGTACAGCGTTTCGCTTCGACACGATGCTTCACGGTCTCGCTTGCTTTACGAGCCATTGTTGCCGATTTTTACAACGTAACCGACCACAGCGGCTGAACTTTCAGTGTGAAACGATTCGATAACGATGTCGTCAAAATCGCTATTTTTCTCGCGAAAACGCCACTTGATCGTGACTCTCGCGTGTACTTTCTCACTCTCCAAAATCAACATTGTAAAATGAGCCAGCGTGCTTTAATCTCATATTGGCCAATTATAAAATTACGAAGATTGCGGTGCAGGGTTTGCTCGGTCAGTCGAATCGCTAGGTGGCGGACAAGTCTCCGAAGGAACGTTCTCGTTGCCAAGAGCGAGAGTCTGTCAAACGACCGAGTAAAATAGCTTATTCTCTCGATTAAAATTGAAACTGTGATTCGTTACCTCTCCAAGCAGAATAGCTTCTTTGATTTTGGGTTTGGCTATTTCGAGAAGGTTACATTCGTAATCGGACAGAGGCGGAATCCCCACGTGTTTCTGAATTCCATCCGGACCTAGTTCCAAGGGAGCAGCGAAATATGTTAATTCTGGTACCAGGCAAGATCGAACGTAGGCGCATTCCACTACACCGCTCTGATGTCGCAAAGCTAAACGGGTCAAAATGAGCCACCAATTTATATCCCGCCATGGAAGATATTACGCGCGTACAATGTACGATACCTTTGCAAAGAGACATGCAAAATCTGGCTGCTCCGAAAGCCAAAGCGAAACATATTCTGTCTTTCCGTTTGCTTATGCTTGCTATCTTTTCATCCGCCGTTCGCATCGCGTGTGTTAATTTCCTAGCTTCTTGCTGATTGATTAATGATCCAGTTAATTATTTACGGTTACGAGAGATATGGTGCAGAATAAAATTGTTGACCTCCGATAGTTTGTTGCAAGGTTTCGCATGAGAAAGAAGAGGCACACACGTATTCGAACAAGCTCCGCCAATCACTGGTACCACTACGCATTCCGGTTCGATACCTATTACTTCCGCTACGAATGTATTTGCTCTGACACAGTTCAGACTAGTTATCCCAAAAATGCGATTGGGATTATAAACTCCGGCTCTTTTATACATTTCCATCGTCAGAGGTATTAAGCTGTTTATCGGGTCCATCGCGACCGCGAGCATAGCCTGAGGAAAGAAAGACACGCGATTCCATAACGTATCAAGCATGCCGGCGTTTCGCAAAATTTATAAGATAAAAGCTGCCGGACGTAAAATAGGTAAAACAGAAAAAGAAACGCGTCATCGCTATGAAGGAAATGGAAGACGACGAAAGACAAACACTTTTGTCCTTGCCGAGATTGTCACGAAGAATGTCGAAAACAGCCAGCTCGTAATTAATGAAGTTGCGAGGGCGTTAAAAGCCGAGGTCAACTACTATATGTAAAAAAAGAAAAAAGAAAGGAAACGATGGCCAAACGTGTATAAAGCACCGACTCGTTGTCACAACGTGTTTTCAGAAGGTTCATGATAAATAAATTGCAACGATTTGCGGAAACAAACTTCGATTATTAACAAGATCGAGCTTTAATTTATTATCGGTAATGGATTAAGAGGAAATACGGAATAAACAAATTACTTAATTAGTGTTCGTTAGAATATTGGCAGTCACTGTTAATCAAAGTCGATTCGGTATCAAAACAATTTTTTAACTGTAGCAGAGGAAAATATAAATTTAATGCTCCTATTAGTCTTCCTCGGATTTTATGGATTAAGAATGCCTGAAATTTTACTGAACCGTTATAAAGATTACTTATTTACCTGGGGACAAAATTTAATAACGTTTGGTAACAAGTCCGACAAGATATCGGCATTCTGCTTCAATGTCTCTGACTTTTGTTCATTTCCAATCGTTTGATTCGCGATGATCATAACTATTTTAGCACCCTCCAGCGTTTCTTGAAGATTTTTCTCGGAAGAATCATATGCGCTAACCTTACATTTCGTATCGATGTGACTCAAGTCCAATGAGAGACCACGAGTACATTTGCTATCGTAAATTGCCAATTCATCGATCAAAGATGATTGTTTCAGGAATAACGAAAGACAATTTCCTGCGACAAAGCAACGCAGTTAATAGGGGGAACATAATCACGTCGAAACCGTAGCTTAAATTGTTTACCCGTATTACAGGCAGCTCCTAGCACTGCCACTTTCATGGATTTTGAAGAGAAACGATTCGATCGCACAAAATATATTTCAGAAATACTCTGAACCATTCTATTAATTTGCAAAATCTTGTGTCTAACTTTTGAGATACGAATCGAAGATACAAACATATTGTCACGGTTCTTTCTTACTATCGCAAAATAGAGTACAGAAGTAACATTAATTTAAGCCCATGCTTAAATTGCGATCGTGAATTTTGACAACAAGTTACATACTATAAGAACATATTGAACGAACAAGATATGTGTAATCTTCGTTTCTACGAGTCTGAGACGCGCTGAAGCGAGTAGCCGTGGTGCCATCTTTTGTAGTCGGCCCAAATCTTGAACGATGATATCGTAGGAAACTTGTCTCGTTGTATATATGTATACAAGTGCATAACTGAATGTGATTGAACGCATTAATTAAGTTTATATTGTTTTTTTAAATCTTGTATTGTCTTCCCCGTCAATTGAATTATTAATATCACAAGTCATTCGTAATTGTAATAACACATCAGACATGGAATGTAATAATCTTCGGTAAGTCCACAAGCTGCAAAACGGTTCCGTTCATCTGGAATACCATTTTCTGTGAGAGTCAGGTCAAGATCTATATCCTTCCCTTCGAATTTCCACGAGTAAGACGTTGCGTTTTCATTGTAAATGAGTGCACGTTGCTGAATGCGTCTAATGGTGTCTTCTTCGCAAACCTTTGTAAAATTCTTTCTTTAACGCATCATTAAGCTAGTTTTGATCTAATAAAAAGCCCTACCATTATAACAACTTGTATACCGGTGAGCACGTTTAAGATTCGACAGGGTCTCGCGTTTTTGGTTAAGAATCCTTTCTTGTACTTTGTATCTAACCACCAAGGGCATTTGTCTAGTGGCCGCCAAGTAACGGCAGGTACTACGCAAGAAGCTACATCCGGTATCGGTCCGTGTGGACAATAAGGTACCGACACTCCCGTAACCGGATGTATATGATATTTAATATCATTTTTCTCATGATCAAACCAGTGACTGATATCTTTGCCAGCGTAGGCTAATATAGGTTTTATTTCTCTTTGATTGGCCCAAAGTTTACAGAGATCAGTCAAATCGTACACCTCGTCGTTGTACGAGACCCAACAATCGACCGACGTATTGTGCAGCGCAACCTCTGTCGGTAGGAAGTATTTGAGCACTTTGGAACTATCGACGCTAGAATTTGTGGAAACTTCGCACTCTATACAACAACAGGAAACGATTTGATGCGCGAATGACATTTTTCATGCGATGCGAAACCGATACATTTTCTTTTCTCGAAATTCGTTTTGAACGATTTTCATTTGAATGTACATAACTATAGGGATTATGTAAAAATTATATGCCAGATACATATATTCATAAAATTTTAGGACACGGTGGAACAAAAAGTTGGGACAGCTTAAATTGGCAACTCGTCTAGTGAGACATTATTTTAGACAAATTTGTGTTTTAACCTACTTAATATTATCGTCATAATTTTGTATACCATGAAACATTGATCTGATATTTCGTTAAACGCTGCGGACACGTCATACTTTGATTTTGCAACACTTTCGCGATCTGTGCTATATAAATACATAAGAAATAATAAACATAGCCCTCAAACGTGCCCAAAAATGCTGCTCAATAAATGTCATATTTTGCTAGCTTCATGTTGCTTCCATTTCAGAAAAAAACTAGGAACATTGCAGATAATTTGGATGATTAATACGAAAATAGTTAAAACAGAGGTTTTTTGTTGCAAAATCTGAAATTTAGACATTATAATATTACTTAGACGAACGAATGTGTTGATATTTTTGTCGAAATCAATCGGTTATTTTAACAAACGAGGAGGTTTGCTAGTAACTTTTATACTACAATGTTGGTTTCCTATACGACGTTCAACCTGAAGGCAGTCACTAAATTGTGGCTATTGCAGGCGATTGAATGGCTGCCTCGTCCAAAGAGTGCACATTCTGTTTTGCTGTAATTAATTTTACGTTACTTGGTGATTTACGCGTGAAAGATACTCTGCCTCGTATAATTTGGTAAGTCCTTTGATACGTTACCGTTACCTTGGAACAGATGATTCGTGTAGCAGACGCGTTATTATTATACTTTCGTTTGTAAGAAACGTGTTCATAAAATTTACGGCCGGTTATTTATTTTTTGCTAAACATTGTATTTAATGTTTTTTCTACGTACACCAATTAAATTGTCCATTAAGCTATAAAGAACGTACATTTACATTCTTCTAAACAAATGTAAAAACTGGGATAAATATCGATAATGTACAGTAGTTGCCAGGATTTGGTCTGGATTGTGACATACCATAAAAGCATCTTATATTTGCACGTAGTAATACCTTCAATTATTAATGAAGGCTGAGCAATTTATGTAATTTTATTATTTGTTAAAAAAGTAAATTTGCCATATAATCTTCGTTTGTAATAATTTTAATTAAAAAATTATGGTTTAAAATCATAATGCTCCTTAGTTCTTTGATTATAAAATCTGAATATAAATTGATGTAACAGTACTCTTATTACTCTATATAGCTTTCATCTTTATAAACAATGCTCCAATTCAATAACTTATTACTCTTGTTCAGGTATAATAATGGTAAATATTTTATAGAATCTATGAATGTTTTTAGCTTAATTTATTATTTTCATGTTTTTATTTTGTTTCTTACAATGTTTGTTAAACGTTTATAGGAATATTGAAATCACAGCAACATCAGCAGCAACAGCAATAGCGATAGCAATAGAACTAGCAATATACGAAATTTTGAAATGGAAAAGAGCGCGGACGGATTATTGTTTCGCGCAGAGAGAAATAATGGGGCTAATGAAGGAACAATGGGAATGGTTTGCGATGAAAAAGTGGCCATTTTGGATGCTGGGGCACAATATGGTAAAGTGATAGACCGAAAAATTCGTGAACTAAATGTTCACAGTGAAATTTTGCCTCTTGATACATCCGCGTTTACCATTCAGGAAAAAGGCTACAAGTATGATCTTGTGTTACATCATATTTATATAACAGACAAAACATACATGGATGTTAATCATTGTACTAACTATGAACCGTAGAGCTATTATAATTTCTGGAGGGCCAAGTTCCGTATACGCAGAAGATGCACCTAAATACGATGCAGACATTTTCAGAATAGGAATACCAGTTTTAGGTATTTGTTATGGGATGCAGATGATGAACAAAGAATTTGGTGGTACGGTGATCAGCAAGGAGGGTCGAGAAGATGGTCAGTTTCCGATAGAAATAGATTCCAAGTGCCTTTTATTTAAGTAAGTGAGTCCAAAGAACATCTTCATTTTGTATTTTTTCATCTCTGAATACAATATAATCGGAACAACTTATATGTCAGGGCCTTGGACAAGGAACAAATGGTACTTTTAACTCATGGAGATAGTATAGATAGGGTGGCTGATAGTTTTCACGTTACTGCCAGATCGTCAAACTTTATAGCAGCGATAGCGAGCGACAAAATGAATTTATACGGGGTACAATTTCACCCAGAGGTTGATCTTACACCTAATGGGAAACTGATGTTAAACAATTTTTTATTTGGTATTGCTGGTCTTACGGGTAACTATACGCTTCGTGGTCGGGAAGCACAGTGTATTCAATATATCAGAGATACTGTTGGCAACAAGAAAGTTTTGGTAAGAAATTAAATTTCTTTTAAACTAGTATTTAATCGCTTATTAACGTATTTAAAAATATTTCTGGCACAAAATTCCTAAAGTATGTAACATTTAATCACGTAAGACGCGTTATCCTATTTTGGAAGATATTTAAAAAATATAGTATAAGGTATGACAATATGTGATTGTTAATTAAAATAGAAAAAAACAATCACAGTTGTTAGTGAGCGGCGGTGTGGATTCCACAGTATGTGCGGCGCTGTTACATAAAGCTTTAAATAAGGATCAAGTCATAGCTCTGCATATCAACAACGGCTTCATGCGGAAAGGAGAGACACAATTTGTGGAGCAAAGTTTGGCAGATTTAGGAATCCGACTGAGAGTAGTCAATGCCGTACGTTGGTTCATGCAAGGAACCACATCTGTTCCGTTGGACAATGTCACTCCGGTAGTCAACGCGAACACCGTGAACAACAAAGGAATATGTGGAACAGCGACAAGCCCAAGAACTAGATTAACTAAAGTGCTGTGTGCAACAACAAATCCGGAAGAAAAGCGAAAAATTATAGGTGACGTTTTTGTAAAGGTAGCAAACGAAGCAATGGCAGAAATGGGTTTAAAGCCAGAGGAAGTGTTTCTTGGGCAAGGCACTCTTAGGCCTGATCTTATAGAAAGTGCAAATGCATTAGCTAGTGGTAAATTAATATTTTATTAGTTATCTCGTACTCGCGAGAAAAGTTTGATCGATCTTGTCTATTTAACTTGCACACGTTTCTATCAGGTAAAGCGGACGCGATAAAGACACATCACAACGACAGTGATCTCGTTAGAGCTTTGAGAGAACAAGGACAGGTAGTAGAACCATTAAAAGATTTTCACAAGGATGAAGTAAGACAATTAGGACGCGACCTTGGATTACCGTCATCGCTAGTATCTCGTCATCCGTTTCCTGGACCGGGGCTCGCTGTACGTATTCTTTGCGCGGAGGAACCTTACATGGATAAAGATTTCCCAGAAACGCAGGTACTTTGTTTTTTTATTAATCATCGATATTATCAAAAGCATAATATTTTATCGAGAAATGAATTCGGTTCAAGGTGATAGTCAAAATAATGGCAGAATACGAACAAATGCTCCAAAAGAAACACGGACTATTAAATCGCGTAGAAGATGCGACTAGTGAATCCGAACGCCAATACTTGCGACAATTGTCTAGTTATCGTCATATCGCTGCAACGCTTTTACCTATACGTAGTGTAGGAGTACAGGTATGATCTTCATAGCTTTAAAATGCTTTTACCGTGCGATCATCTAACTTTTAGTACATGTTGATTAATCGTGTTATCAGGGAGACCGAAGAAGTTACAGTTACGTAGTAGGCTTATCTGTCGAAGAAAGCGTAACCGATGGGATAGAATGGAACAATCTGTTGTTCCTTGCGAAACTAATTCCGCGTGTATGTCATAATGTAAATCGTGTGTGCTTCATTTTTGGCCCGCAATTGCATCATCCTATTATGGATATCACACCAACTCATCTAACGTCGAATGTAATAGCCACGCTCCGACAAGCAGATCACGTAGCAAATTTAGTGCTAGCTACCAATGGTTGTATGGGAGCGATCAGTCAAATGCCAGTAGTTTTAATTCCCATACATTTTGATCGTGAGGCTGGTTCTCGGATACCTTCCTGCCAACGTTCAGTAGTCCTTAGGCCGTTCGTTACTAACGATTTCATGACTGGCACTCCGGCTGTACCAGGAAAGGAGTTGTCGTTAAGCGTAAGTGCCACAAATTTTTAGCATATACTAATGATCGTAAATAGAACAACGTTACACAAAAATCAATCCGGTAATTTTTCTTCTCGTAGGTGGTGAAGAAATTAGTAACCGAATTATCTACAATACCCGGTATCTCGCGTGTTTTGTATGACTTAACATCTAAACCGCCGGGAACTACCGAATGGGAGTAGTAAACGCTGATCTCTGACTCACCCTTTTCTATTTTTTCACCTTCCCAGCGCGTAACAACAACAAAGTAAAAAATATATTTAAAAAATATATATATATATTACAAAAATACGTACGAACTCAAGGTTTATGACTTTCAAAAGCATATGTTCTCGTTTGTAAATTAATATGTTACCTAACGAATACTGATACTGTGTTCAATGAAATTGAAGGTAAGTATCACGTTTGCTTGTAAATAGGTTTCTTATTAACCTCATTGTAAAAATATTAATTTATTAAATTCCGATGAAATTTACATTACATCACTGTTACACTGTAAAAGATTGCATTTAATTGATGGTACCATTAGATTGCTGTTATACTCAATTTGCATATAATGTTGAACGTATTTTACTGTTTTCCTATATGTCCTATGCCAAATGCAATTTCCAGTTTTTGTCATACATCTAAAAGAAAAAAAAAGTGCGAACATGGATAAGTTAATGTATTATCTTTAATATCATTTTTATTTATCAATCGTAAGTGAGTAAAATGATATCTATCCCCTGAATCCTCTGTGTTATATTATTAATATATTCTACCTATTATAGGTTTGTATGAATGAATTTTGCATAAAATATAGATTACCTATGCATGGTTTTCAACAAGACGTGTAAATCTTCGATACGCTTCTTCTCTGGAAGCATGCTAAGAAATGTTGCTAGTGACAAAAAATCTACTTCGTTCACGGTTTTAGAATTAGAGATCCATATTTGTATTTGCATCTTTACCTGCAACCGTGTATTTTATATTTGTATTAATGCCACAAAAATGATGTATAATGGATAATACATATTATCCGAGACGCTATCGAGCATGCAGTCCTCGTTCCCCGCCTTATCGTAAAAAGTAACTGGACAGAAATCACTATATTTATCAATCTACATGTTTGAAACTTTGAAAAAAAAAAGGAATAGAAAAGAGAAGAATATATTGATAACTCTCGATCTGCGGTCTACAGTAATAATTGCAAATGAATTGCAAACTACCTGTTCTAAAGGTAGATTCAGCAAACGATTCACGAGATTAATTAGAATATCTTCATGTTGATTTTCATTATCGTTGTTTTCCAGGATAGTACGATTATGAGAAAGAATAGCCTCGGCTTCGTCTGCGGTGATTCGATTATTAACAGACTCGACCGTTTCCACCCAAGAAGTTACAGATTTGGTGGTACCATTGATTTTGCTATTCGATATGCTTTTCGAATCACATTCATTTTTCGACTTCTTCAACGCAGTTTGTATGCTTTTCTTTTTATTCTTGGACGACACCGCTTTAGAATTTTTACCATTATTTTTAGTTTTTTGTTCAATTTTTTTATTCTGCTTTGTCAACTGAACGTTTCGAACTATCTCCTCTTTCTTTGTTTTTGATTCTGCTTTCTTCGCGGTGCAATACATTTGAACGTCTCGTTTCAGATCTTCCGATAACGCGGCTAAAAATTCCGGATCTACTTGCGAGAAGGATATATTTTGCTCGTCACGATTGATTTGTGGAACTGCCCTATTAGCCGAAAATGTACCACCATCGTTTCTATTTGCGTTAACATTATTCGACTGATTCTGGTTCTTTTTAGAACTGTATTCGTTAAGTATTTCGTTTCGTATATCCTCCGGTAGTTCTATCAGGACAGACATATCTATCTCCTGTATAGGCGGCATCTCCACCTTTGCTGATTTTGAAATACCAGGTTTAGACTGTTTAAAGAATTGTTCCTGGTTCGTTTGTATACTTTTCTGAGGTTTCTTCTCGTTAGCTTTAGGTACTGTAACATTTTCTTGCTTCTCATTCTTCGCTACAATCGTTAACTGTTCGTTTTTCTTCGCGTCCAAAATTTCATTTCGTATTTCTTCCGGAAGTTCAGCGAGAATCGATTCGTTAATAGCGGATGGAATATATAATTTTTGTTCCTCGGTGCACGCACTTTTCGAAGTCGATGGTATAACATTTGGATTTGCTTTTACAGACTGAGCTTCGCTATCTTGTTTTGTTACGACAGATCGATGAGATGCGTCATTTTGTTTGTTCTTAGTAACGAAACTCGTTAAAGTTACATCGCGCGATTTATTTTTCAATATTTCTAATCTGGATATTTGTATACCGATGCCCCTTGCATCTTCAGGAACTTTTTGCATTTGATTCCAAAGTGCAATTACTTCTCTACAAAATATATTAATAATGCAGATACTTAAACCATACGTATATGACGCACAAGCATTAAAATAATTGATGGACTCACTTTGTCATAATGTCAACGTCGTTAATGGGAGCGATAAGATTCTTTGACTTTGTTATATAATCGCACAAACCGTGGCCCATAAATTTTTCTGTTTCTTTAGGCGCCTCTTTTGCCCTAACTAATAATTTTAACGTAATACACCTACCCTTTGCATTGGCTTTACTCAATCGATTGCATACTTCCTGAGATAATTTTTTTAGAAAATCTACCGCTTCCTCGTTATTGTCAAATCTTATTCCATAATTAACTTCGGCGGACACTGATTTTCTAACATGTTCTAAATTAAGTTTCGAATTATCGATACCGCGACACATGTTATATAACATTTCCCCTGTTTTTTTACCAAATTCTTTTTGCAATGTCGCCAATGAAATCGCTTGTAATTCTGTACACGTTTTCACGTTAATACTGTTTAACTTGTGTGCTGTCGTATATCCGACTCCTAATTTAAATAAGTACCTTATTAAAGAATTGCATTTCTAATTTTAATTTATATACACGAGATATATTATATTATAGTTATCCTACCTGGCAAATCTTGCACATTAAAAGTACCAATACATTTTTCTACATTGTGTTGCATATAAAATTGACCATTTGGCTTTGCTTTTTTTGTTGCTAATCTTGCCAATAATTTATTACTCCCAAAGCCTGTTGATACAGGACACCCTGTTTTATCTTTTATTTCTTGTCTAATTATAGTTGCAAACTCCATTGGAGTTAAGCAAGATTCATCCAATATTTTGGTACAATCTGCATACATTTCATCACAGCTAACTGCCTCTATGTTTAAAGTGTATGATGCTACAGTATCATATAACATGTATGAAACTTCTTTATAGCCTTCAAAGTCATATGATATTGTCTTCAAGTTAGGACATATTTTTAATGCTTCCCCTAAAAACATGCCGTTTTTTACCCCAGCTTTTCTTGCTTCGTAAGAACAAGAAGCTACCTCTGATAATGAACCATGCTCATCATCCTTATTCGCATTGCCATCTAAAGCTTGTTTGTTACTGTTTGCAAGATTTTTATTACCCTTTGCATGAGTTACTGCAATGGGTAAACCTTTTAATTCTGGCTTATCTCTGAGGCCAACAGAAACAAAGAAGCAATCCATATCTATGTGCATTATAATAGGATCTTGATTAATTTCTGCTCTATTCTCTTCTTGTAAATCAGGGAGGAATTCATTGTTAAAGTTTAATTGAGAATCAGATGATAATCTATTTGATTTTATATGTCTGTACTCTTTTAATTTAATGAGACCAGGAAATTTTCCATTGCTCTTATCTCGTAATTCATTAACATAATCTTTGAACATGGTTCCCATGGTTGCAATGTGATGCAATCGGGAATGGTTGTAAAATTCTGATATGAATCCTGAATCTTTTGATGAACGAGCCTCTTTTGAGCTGGAAGGTATTAAAGGATTTGAAGTCCCTTGATTCAAGGTATTACTTTTTATCGTTTCATTTTTGTTATCATTATTATTTGTTACAGTATTTGCTTCATTATTTTGTTGTGTTTTACTGTCCTCTTGAACAGTAATATTCTCTTCATTTTTTTTTGTTCGTACATAATTTAATTTTGGTTGTACATCTGTACATTGTGAATAAAGCAAATAATTCTGAAAGTTTAAAATTCTACCAGCTTGTATACTATCTATGATCCATTCGGGTTTACATATAGGGGTTGGATTTTGACTTTTCCTATATAACATTATCTTGGAATATGGCAGATTAGATGCAATAATATGAGTTGTTAGTTTTGGTCTTAAATAATGATGATATATACCCCCATGTTTTATCATTAAACGACGAAGTTCATCCGCAGTTGGATTAGTATAACCATTTACAAAAATTGCAATTCCTTGAAATATCTCTGAAGTTCTAGATTCTGTACTGGCTTCTTTGTGAAATTGCTCTTCCAATTTTGCTTGTTTAGCAGCCATATACCCACCCTAAAATTATTTTACTATACCTAAAATACTTTAATTTAATTAATTAATCGAAAAGATAGCTATTCTTTTACATACCCATTCTTCAAATCCATTTTCCCCCCAAGCTTCATCTTTTTTCTTCTTTGACATTGAGACAGATTTTATATAAATAACAATTGGAATTAATCTTACTTTAAAAGATGTAATGGATACTATTGTAGTTATTATAGTATTTTATATTTATTAATCATAATAAATGTATTAAGATACTTCATTTTATAAAACATCCGTACATATAACCTTATTAAGGAAAACATTTATTTCGATATAAAATACTTCTCTGCCAATATAAGCATGATTAAAATGTATAAATAAAAGTAATAAAACATTATAAAACAAGTTTAAATAGACGCATTGTTGACGTAGTAAACGAAAATTGTACGCTAATCGATTCTCAATGCCATGCCGTACACACAACTATTGCGGTCACATGGCATACATCGAGAGGTCATTTCACTTTACTTTCATTAGCTTATACGTATGTAAATAGTAGCTCGTACAGTATACTATTTGGAATGATATTTTCACAGATAATATTAATTACACATATAAATATACACAAAAATAATTTTCTTTTTTTATTCAACAGTTATTTGTACATTGAGTAACATACATATATTTATATATACTTACATACAGCTGTTAATTATTATGTCTACATATTTCATTGTCTGTCAATTTGTATAAAACGATGTATATATTGCAAATATTTTAACTAACTCGAAGTATATATAACAAATTCTTGTACATATGAATATTATAAAATAATAAAATATTTTGTTCTATCTTACAAGCCCTATAAAAGAATGTTTATAGAATGTGGCAGTTTTGTACATACACTAGCGAGATTCAGACGTAAAATGTAAAATCAATGTAAAAATAAATATTTAGGACATTGGCAGTAATCAAATTTACAAATAAAATTTGTACAAAGTAGTCTGAAAATCAACATTTAGATTCTAAAATATCTTTGCTAGTAAATTTGCTAAAAGTGAATGTATAGTATAATAAGGACTGTGCGTTTATAGACAAAATATACACTGTCAAATTATTGCACAATACTATGTACTGTCTTCTAACAATGATTTTTGGAAGATTTACATAAAATATAGATGATTAAAAAAAAAATTAAAAAATAAAACATTTAATTACAATTATTTGGAATATATGTGCATCAAATTTGTTCTATTTGTGGTTATGCCTTATATGTTTTGTAGAGACCAAACATTTGCTCTAAGAAAATAAATGTCAAAACAGTGTGAGGACCTAAACGAGCATAGTAAGGGAAGAAACCTTTCCATAATGAGAACAATCCCTCATTTCTACACACTTGAACAATGACATCTATTGCACCTTTAAACTCTGGCTTACCATCCACAATTTTCATGTTTTGAATCCTGTAAGCAACGCGTGAAAGTATTTCCACAACTATTTATAATTTAATATTATATAATATTTACCTTGTTTTAGCAATATCAACTGGCATAGAAGCAGCAGTTGTTACTAAACCTGATATCATGGAACTTACAAAGTGTAATGAAATACCCTCTTCAAAATACCCTATTTAAACAAAATAAAAAAAAGGAATATAACTAATCATTGGAATGCTATTCTTTTGATATTATCTTTTGTACAAACCAGTATTAAGTAATATTTCTTTAGACTGAGAATATGATGCTAACTGAGCTGCATTTACAACCATAGCCCTTCCCATTGTTGGAATTGTACCTCTCCATAATGCTAAGAAACCTTCCTCTTTGGCTATACGAACTAGTGCATTAAATGCATTTTTATAATTTCGTCTCTCAGCTAAAAATACAATAATGCTAAAAATTGTAAAATTAATATTAAATGATCCACAAGACATAGACATACCAATAGGTAATCTACCATCTGCAGTCATTCTAATCAAAGCAACTTCAGCAGGTGTACCTACAAACGCTCCTATACAACCAGCTGTACTACCTATTAACGCTTTCATAAAAAAGTTTGGTTGACTGTCCTTTCTGAATATAGGGAATACCAAATAGGAACAAACAAAGTATATAACATTTGTTGTACTTTCATGTAATCGACAACAGGAAAATGTACTCACGAAGCAAGTTCATACAACCAAGTATATATACCAAGCCTTGCAGTGGTATATGTACCCTGACGCAATAAACCAGCAGACAAACCAGAATAGAAAGCTAACAAACCCTCATTTTTTACTATTGAAGATATTACACTTATGGTTGTTGTTTTTGTGCCACTTAATTGCATTCGATTTTTTATTAAGTCTAATGGTTGAACAAAACATGTGGCAGCCATTCTAAAATAAAGCATCGAATGTGAACTTCATTTTTTAATAATTTATAAATTGCAAATCAATGTATAGCCTTGGAGTTATTTTTACACATTCAAGTACAAAGTCACATTCAGCTTGAAAAATATGCAGAACTAACATGCCAATTTTACTAAAAATTTTAAATATTCACATGTATTATTTAATATAAAATTATTTAATAAAAACAGTAAAACAAACCCAGCTGTTCCGCCAAAAAGGAATTTTATTGAATTGGGCACAGTTTTTTCGCTACTCATTTTGACAGTACTATATGACAATTAACTGACAGTTAAACGATGTAAATATATTAAATTCCAAGTGGTGTAAAACGATTAAAATGATCTATTTTTTTATAAATGTAACATTCACAAAACTTCAAAATAGACAAACGAGAGCCAGTTAAAAGTAGACCGGTCACGAGTACGAAAATAATCTAAATGAAAGATTATCAAATTCTTGTGAAATTCCATCTTTTCCTTACCGACGTTGGATTGATAAAAATTCGTACATTTAGCGACATCTTGTAGCACTATGGCTTGTTATACCACATTTGATAAAGTAAAACGGATTCAAAGCGGTAAAAGCAAGTTCACAATCAAATTGCAAGTTAAAATATTAAAACTAATGTAATAATTCCGTAAATCATTTAATTATAAATGTACACATGTCACGTCGCTTACTCAACGAAATAATCCTAATATATAGATGCTACGAAGTTACTGTATGCTACCCTAATATTTGTATTTATTCATTTGTCACAATTTTATTAATCGTATCGTTTACGATGTGTAATCCAAGGATTAATTTTCGGTACAATTAATAATGACAGATAATAGAAGTACAGAACTCACCATTCGTAGAATGCTTCGTGCGACCGTAGATTCTGGCAGTTGTAGAGACACTGTATAGAGTATTCCGATTATAGCACTGTATAAAGTATTCCAATTATAGCACTGTATAAAGTATTCCGATTATAGCAAAAAAAAAAAAATAAAATCAAATAGACTATTAATTTTTTATATGAAAATTAATCGTTTAAGTATGATACGAATATTTGTGAGGCAAGGCATTAGATGAGTTTGAAAGGAAAGATCACAGAAAAGTCATACTCGATTATACTTAACATTACAATAATTTTACTACGTTCAATATTTATTTATCACATTATTTAACACATTCGTTCACTATATGTCACTTTAACACGCGTAAATTCGCGAAATTTTTAAACAAAATTACGATACGACGACAGCAACGCGCACCGTTTACAAATATACGAACAACTAACTGAAGTGATCATGTGACTACTACGCACAACATTTGAACAATGTCGTAGGCGAAATAGGATAATTGTATGAACAATATTTTGGCAACAATTTAACTACTGCAGCTAATTAAAAATATTTATTTTAATTATAATTCATGACAGTTCGTCTAATTTCTTTTAATGTCATTTAACTAAGTGATTACAAATATTTGTAAGTGCACAAAAAACACTTAAAATTATAACTAATTATAACAATAAATTCCAATAGGAAATGTAAAAATTAAAATAAAAATATAAAATTGTTTTTTTAGACTTTTTTTTATCGTCATTAAGCTTTATATGATTTTCACGAAATCGTAAGTGACATTCAACTAACCTAGTATGTTTTTACCGGCAGATTGACTTTATTACCCGTGATCAGTGAATGTGGCGGAAAAGTGTGGATGCTGTGCTCCTGTGGGTGGATCAGTAGAAATGGTCGAAATGCTTCTTTTCGTGAATTGGTAAGTCAATTATACTTAAATAATACTAATAGCATTGAGATGAGAGTATAAAACAAACGAATGGATAACATATCGATATATCGATCAGAAAATTGCAGCGCGCCATGATCATTGTTATGCGTGCAAACACAATGGCACGTTAATTTGTTGACAGACCTTTTTTTATTCAAACACCGTAATTCTCTTCTTCTATTCTCGAATTATTATGAAGATTACCCCATTCATTATATCTTTTAGTAGATTTCAATATTATACATTTTATTTAACGAGGATCAGTATTTTATGGTTATTCGATTCCTTTTTTAATACAACGTGAAAGGCGTTGAACGATTACTCTCATCTCAAAACTATTTTGTTGAAATATTAGAAACTACATAGAAATAGGGAACGATAAACTTTTACGAATTTCTTGTTTCCAAAATACACATATTACATATGCACTTTTACAATTAACATTTTATTATCAGATGTTGTATAACCTCACGCTGGAATCGCCGTTAACAGTGGTTATGTTTGTTGAAACGAAATTATCTAAAGAAAAAGTTTTAATCAAATATATCGCTGATTATTTTTATTACTTTTTTATAATAAGACAAATGAACAAATAATGCCAATTATAAGACGCACATTGTACAGTAAGCATTGAAGAATATTTACAAATGCCTGATAGATTTCGATAGATTCGCTTTCCTTCTCGTTTTCGCAGTAGTTGTAACTTTTCTTTTGGTATTGCTAAAACGTTCAATGCGTGACACGAAAGTAACGATACCGTCGTTTATTCCTTGTTGAAATTATCAACGGAAAGTTTGTACAACAGGCGCGGTTCAACAGTGAAAGTATTATTCTCTTTTGTCTTTCTTTTTTAAACTATATACTCATTAACATTGGTACTTTCAAGATACCGTCGTTCTCTGACAGCGTAGTCTATAAATATACTCTGTCGCTTTAGAATTATACATTCGTCTATTCGCATTTGTACAATATTTATATATTTTTTTAACCGATATAAAAAAACTTGATATTCGACGCCTGCGGAGAAAGTCAATTATAATCTGTTACATTCGTAGTGGATAACTTAACGTAGAAACGTTATAAAAGGACTTAATTCGATCGCTGTTTGATCGGTTATCGTTCGGTTGTATTGCTTCCCGATTAGGTTAGGGCTAAAACGTAATTTATCGAGGCGTTTCGTAATTCGACCCAGAACATTAAACGGAAATCCATCGGCGTCAGTTCCACAGAGATCAAACATTTAGATTTAGATCATGGTGATATCCAAGAACAGTGAAAAAAATAAATCTTTCTTTTAAGGCCGTTCATTCGAAGTTTCTCTCTAACTAGTTTAGATAAAAAAGTGTGTGATAAAAAATTTCATTGAGTTTAGCTAAATTTTTGATAATTCGATGATGCCTTTGCATCTTGACATAAACTTATCAACTAAGTTCGTACAGGGAGAAATACATATATACGTGCACGTGTGCGTGCGTGCACAAGCACGGATACACGCACGCAAACGCGCGTATAACACGAATAATAATTTGTTTCTGTTCCTTTTAATTCGAAATTCGGATCGAATCAGCATACCGAATGATAATTGTACATCTTTGAACATTTTCGGAAATTCGTCAACTTTAAGACCATACGCGTTCCATTTTCTTTGTGCATGCTGACATTTCTATACACGTTGAAATGACGAACATTTCTCTTTCGTAAGTTACTCGAAGAGTGTAAAAAGTAGTAGAATACGTGAGATAGGTTGAGTAGATAATATTACAATACGTTTAGCTTGAATTATAAGGTGAGGAGCATAGAAATAGTATAACAAAATATATGAAATATTTATAAAACAGCTGCTTTCATTGACATTTGTGAAATGACGACGTTATTAATACATGTAAATGTTTCGTCTATCGTAAGGTTTCCACTATGTACTAGACACGAGTGCGATTGTTGGTCTTTCAATAGTAATATTATTCGTCCAATGTAATGATTGTTTTCTCGAGACATTCGTATTGCGTAAATTGCACCAATCTTTTCTCTATACGAAACGTATAGATACACGTACAGGGCTATTAATCTATAGGTACTAGATTTCACGATTACACGGGCAACTTCCGTTACCGACACAAGCGTTTCACAAATGACGATGAAAGATGAACGAATATAATTATCGTGCATGGCCAAAGCCGTGCCTTATCACATATTTTCGATAGCGATACGCTATTTACATTGAATCCATTCAAGTGATACTTACAATTGGATACACACCCGCGCGATACAATTTTTCTATGATACATTCATTTCGAATCGATCGGATGATTTGTTGAAATCAACCATGTGTTTATAGTAAATGCTCGAACGATGGCTACTTTACCGTAACTACTATCTAACTTGGACGTTATAGGATACATCGAAACTTCTTGTGCACGTTATTGCTACGCTAAAGTTTAAAATTTCCTTCCGTGATATCTGTAAAGTCTTTTGTAATTCGAGTGAAGTTACCGTCGGGTTATCTTAAACGTTTCTCTGCTGATTCGACAAGATGCTCGCGGAAGATGAGCTGTTGAGAATTTTGGACAAATTTTGCGATGGTCGGAGAAACTTTAGTCGCCGATATTCGGAAGGTTCAATTGGAAAGTGCGTTTCGGACGAAAAATTAGTCGATCGATCAGTCGTAATCGAGTCACCGATAGAAAATTCAACAACGCTGTGAATACAAAACCAATAGGTACCGGTTCGTAACTAACAATAGAATTCAAGTGGCGGCAAGTACCATGTATAAAAAATGAACAGACGCCACAAACGCGATCAACGCAAGAATCGACGAATGAAACCGAAAACCCGAAACGACGGGTCTCGTATTTGGTTGTTCTCCATTTTAAGCCATCACATCCGCGTTTCGCTTTGTTTCGATTATCGTGCACCTACGAATTCTCTATTTCTTGGGTGTGCTCTAAGGCTGATAACCCTGATATGTTTATTGGAAATGTTCAGCTATCAAAGGGATCAAATTTCAAGGAGCGTGATTCTGGAAGTCGACGCATAGCGCTGAACCCTTGATACAAAGCCGCATTATCGGCGTCACCGGCGCTAAATCGATGCGACAATTTGTTATCCGGATCACAGCTAGAATTCGTCGGTTTGTACAAACGAGGAATGTGTCGTTCTCCGTGATTATCGCCGTACACGAAATTATCGTTACCTGGGGGAACAGTTGGTGCCAATGTTATATTCACGATTAGAATCGATAATTAGAGAATCCGAAGGGAATAGAGTAATTGTACCTTGAGACGGGGTTGGCGACGGCGATCGGGGTGGAGTTCCCACCACGGGTGACAGGGGTTCGTACGGCGGCGGAGGAGGAGAAGACGGAGACGGGGGTTGCCTCGACAGGGTGTCTGGTTCGAGTTCGAGGATCCTCAGGACTCTTTGAGGATTTGCTCGGACCCAGGACTCGAACAAATCGACAGGCCAATCCGTTTGCGTGGACGCGTCGGACACTCTCGCTGGAGGATCCCAGCATAAAGCATCCGGCGGATGCGACGAACTTCTCGCCAAAACGCCGCTCCCTCGGCTCGCGGGGGTTGGTAAATTCGGATTACTTTGTGGCGAACAGGCTAGTATTTGCAGTGCTTGGATGGCGTTTCTGACCTATTATCATCGAACAGAATATCAAAGACCCGTTGTGTACGAGATTCTTCTCAAACGTACCTCGCAGCTAAGCGTAGCGACGTCTTGATGTAACGTAGAAAATTGCGTATCGAGTCTTTCTACCGATCCGCGAATATGATCCTCCACCGATTCTTGAGCGATCACTTGAGCCGCTCTTCCCCTCACCAGAACTCCCCTTCCGTGTCTTCTCGTTTCTCGATAATCGTCCCTGTGATTTACCGTGCAGAGTACATTTACGTATACCGCGCAGGTGTAGATAATCAAAGCGACGCCGGATCGACTTACCTGAATTTAGCGTGTCTCGGACTAGATGACGCGTGCAAAGGCGACTTGTTCGGTGGCGATAAAGGCGAGGTCTCCCCCTCGTCAGGCACGTTTTCGTCGTCTTCGCTGATCGACGGTAGCGTTAACGATGGTCCGTTCATATCTGACTCTTGCTAAAAAATGCATCGACGCAAAAATTGTATCGATTCCTCTTTCGCGATGTTTTTCGATGATGTTTGCACGAAAGTTACCTCGGCCTCGTATCCCTCCCGCAAGTTGTAAGTAAGATCGTGTTGTATATCGTTGGCGAATTCATGCTGATACTCGGGATACAATCGAAGCACTTCCACTAGACCGTGCATGTTTATGCACTTTAAATCGCAGTAGGTTAACGCTTTCACGTCGCAACTCGATTTGACCACGACATCGGATCCCGAACCACCGGTTCCACCCCCGTTACTGCTGTGCTGCAGGTGAACGTTTATGTCACAGCCCACAAGATCACCTTTTCCTTTAAATCGAATTACACGAAATTACGCGATACGAAGGTATCGATGTAGATCGACGAACATCTCGAGTAGAGTCGTACCTAAGATCGCTACGACCATGTTGTTTTGCACGACCTCCATAGACCCGTTGCACAGATAGTAGATGTACGATAGCGCGTCTCCCTTGTGAACCAAAAACTCGCCAGGGGCACAAAAATTATTTCGAATTCGGAGGGAAAGTAGTTTGAGACAACCCTGAGAAGCAGCTTCGAATATCGGTAAATTCAATATCTCGCGATGTAGGTGCATCGAAACGTCTCCCCTGAGTTCCTCGGGAAATTGTTTCAGGGTCTAAAAGGATTAATACGTCGCGTTCGTATATAATTAATTTCACGCGGCGTGACACGGTGTGTCGATACGCTTGCCACTCTCGCATCACGTAGTACAACTATTTACCGTTCGTTGACGTGCACTTTACCTCGTGTATATCGATACCGTGATTGAGGGACCACATAGTTTGGAAATAGTCTTGCATACGTTGTTTCAGTTCCTCCGGGATCTGATGCAGCACGAAAAAATCCTTGAGATCCCGTAATTTTGTTTGATACAGCGATCTTCTAGAGTAAATTCTTTGAATAATCGCCGTCACGTTACCGAACACCACGGCATGCATCAGAGCTGTGTAGCATACACAATACGTATAGAATATGCCGATACATATTTCCTAGCGTACATTTACAATTAAATTTGTTTGGTCCTAATTAACGTCGTTTGCCCCTAATTCGCGCATCGATTCTCGTGCAAGGGGTAAACAAGCATAGAGTAGCCGTTAATTGATTATCGAATAATTAATTGATAATCCGTACGGAACAAACGTATCGATTGAGAATGATTACTAACCGCCGATCAGCATCGTGCAAATCGAGAAGAATTTCTCGGAAAACGTGTTGGCCGAAACGTTTCCAAATCCTACCGACGTCAAACTGCTGCAAGTGAAATACAGTGCCGTGATGTAGCTTTCCGCGTGCGTTACGTTATTCACGGAAATTTTTAATCTCTCAGCCAACGTGTGAATCCAACCTGCAAAAGTACACTGGGTTAAAATCTGTATCGGGCCGTCGAGTATAAAATCGATCGCTTGCTGCGTTTCAAAAGCGTTTCGAAAAGCTTCGCGATTGCAGGGGAACGTACAAGTATGCCAAAGTCGCGAGTCTCTTCTTTGAGCGCATCAAAGTTGGATGCTTTCGAGTCTCGGGATTAAGCGGTAATAGCGTTACGAGAGGATGTCTAGCACGAGCAAACGTCTGCGATTAAATTGCGCGATACACTTTCCCTTAAGTGATAATTTTGCGGTTTAACGCGAATATAGCTCAACTTTCCCGAGCATCGTAGAATCCGGAGCTCTCAAAAGACAGGATCGTCGAAAACGAGCGATGGGGGACCAGTCTGTATATCTAAGCAGGTACATAACGGATAAGCTACCGTACACGTAACGCGTACGGGATCAACTTAGGGTTTCTCGGTTGAGATGAGCGCGATCACGTGTTTCTAACGGAAGGGAAGCGAAGATAAACCTTTCGAACGATTTACTCGTAGGCGTACGTTTCCCACTATCAATAAGCATCGGATAGTCGCATTCCGTGGAATTCGTTACGCAAGAAAATTCCGAACTTACCGAGATCCCATTCGTTATCGTTTCTTAATCTCTCCTTTTCCGCGATAACGAACCAAATGCAAGCCAACCAATGTGCCACCAGGATAAAAAATAGCATCAGCATAGTCAAAATCACGGCGCTGTACTGCGAATATCTGTCCATCTTCTGCAGCAATCGCGCTAGCCTCAGTAATCGCGTTAATTTTACTAAATGAATATTACCGTGTCCCGATTCCTGCGATGTAAATGCGGTATTAGTAGCGCACTAAACGGACGGTCAGAGTACGTCGATTACGTCGATCGAGAAATAATATTGGAATTTACACTGTATCGAGTGTTGGCGCGCGTCCCGAATGATACGACTCGATTCGATCGAACAATCGATGTAATAACGTATGCTCGAGTAGCGCGAACTTACGACGACCGGATGATTGTACCATTCATCGGTGAGATACGTCGTTTGAATCGTATTGAAGCGTACCCAAGTTCCGGAGAAAACACGACACGTGCAATCGTCGCGACGCGTTCGATCGAACGAATCCTGTATTGACCTTCGCGAAATGAATTCCCTTCACGATTTTCTTCTCGACGTTCTTTCGGTTTTGCCGACGTAACCGTTCGTAGGTGTTCGACGATAATTACTTACCTCGCCGCTATAAACGTCGGAGGCGTAAAGAAAATCAAAGGGTAAAGCGGCGACCAAATCGACGAAAAACCAGCCCTTCACGTAATTTACGGCAATGCTTTTGCTGTTGCTGACGACTTCTCCTTTCCTGCTTACGTACGTTGTTCGAAAATTCAGAACGATATCTGCGAAAAGATCGTGTTACGCGTTTTGTTTGTTTCTGCACATTTGCGCTTTACAGCCGAGACCGGAACCGGGAGCGTACGTTAGAAATGCGTGCTCTCTGTCTCGAGCGAAGAGAAGGCAAACTGTTCTCGTAGTTAGTTGCCCTTCCGAGTTTCGTAACGTGGAAACGCGGAAACGCGTTAAGGAACTTTATCCTCGCGCGATGAACTGCTTTTAATCCCATTTAGAAACTGAATTTCCGTCCGAAAATTCGCTTGCTCACACGCTGGTCGTCAAATTAGTTTCGTGCAAAGTTATACTCGCGAGTAGCTAAACTTTCCACTAGAAACGAGTTTAGCGACATTGACTGACGGCAGAGGGTGATCTTTAATCGGTGAAACGATTTTTGTAGTATACTTGCAAATTAAACGCTGTTCCCGTCTCGTTTTTTTTTTTTATATTTTCAAAGAGATCTGACAGAACAGCCGCGAGGAGCCTTCGCTTTTGAAACGTAGTTACTCGATATTCAACACGATAAATTGATTCCGTGATTGTAGCGTGAACGTATCGCTAGCGAAAAGCGGCCGGAAGAGTCCGATTGGTGTCAAAAGATGGGAGTGACGGTACAACGAGTTCGCGTTTAAAAAAACAAACGAGTGCATGCAAAATGAAAGAAATCTGGACGTGTTCGCGTCTCGAGGAACTTGGAAGGAATTGCTCGAGTGGGTTAGTTATAGGGTAGGGAGGAATCGTAGCTGCTCGAATCACCGATGAAATAAAAGAAATACCACCCTCCTTCGCGTTTCCTTTCGACTGGATTATTTTAAAAGCGTACCAATCGATAAGAGTATCGAGCATTCCAGAGTCAATTACTGTATCCGTTCTTCTCGAAATTCGATCAGGCTTATTAACTGTTAAACGAAAACGAACGTGCCGCGCAAAGGAACGTATACCCACCGATTATAAAAAGGACCTCGACGACAACGTCGCTGACCATGGTAGGCCTGTCGATGTTAATGAAGCTCGCGTTAAAAGGAACGACGATCGCCACGTAAAAGGTTGCGAGGAGTATCAACCAATCCCAGCAAGATTTGAAACCACCGTAGTGACTCAGAATAAATTGAGATTTTTTTATTCCCGTTGTTTTATACTCTGGTAAAGGTGGCGCAGTGGTATGCAGAAGATTCTAAAATAACAGAGAGACTCGCGGTAAAGATTCGATTTACCGTCGTTTAATGATTGAAACATATAGGGTTTGAAATAAGAACGAATCGCTTACATTGCTCAATTTAATTTTGTGCTTATTGTCCTGTTTGTAATGGCCTGATAATTGATAAAGGACGGCGCGACTTCTTCTCCTGCCGTAATTAGCCGGCGGTGCCTCCGGATCGAGCCCGCCGTTTGCGTCTGAAACGTAATTTTACCGTCGTCGTTTGCGTTTCTTCCTTTGTACCATTTAAAAACTGTACTTTGCGTGCAATTAAAGCACTCGGAGATAAAACGTACACGTTCTCGACTAATTATTGTATAAAGGCATTTCTGGAGAAAAAATTTGCTTGCTCTGAAAACTAGCGTAAATAGCAAAAATGTTGTTCGTTCGCGCGTTCGCTGGTTCGCACGTAAAATATGCACGTCGATTTTGTAAATGAGCAACACGTGCAACGACGCGATGGCGTGACGTGTAAATTCTACAAGAAAAGCAAACTACTATTCGAAGCTGTTGGCTAGCTTTTGATTTGCGTTCTCGGGTGTTTTGCTTCAAAGAATAACGTTGCATTTTAGGTTTATGTGCAGCGTGTTGCGTGATCGCGGTGTAGAAAGCACGAAACGTTAGGTACGTTTAAGGAAAGTACGTTACATTGGGAACGTTTGATCCATACCCGACGTATGGTCCGTGCTCGGATACTTTGGAATGCAATTCATCAGTCACGTCGATCGAAATGCATTCCAGAGAAAATCGTTTCGTCAGGCTGAGTTCAGCAGCGAAGCTTGGCTAGAACTCACCACTATCGGGCAACTCACACAGCTGAAGATTCTTCGTGTGGGTGATGTCCTTGTGGGAAGCCAAGAACAGAACGACGTCGCCTTTTTCGTTCTTGATCGGAACAATATCGAGCAAACAATCGAATGGACTTCCTGTCGATTAAAATCGAACGAATAGTCTCTCGTTAAGCGCGCAGCGGTAAAAATTAATTGACCGGCAAACGGATAAATTTACGTTCGAAAACACTCGTGACCCGAACGTTCTTACTCGACGTCGATTAAACGCGAAACTTGCCTTTTCGAACATCGAACGGAAACAAAACGAATAACAAAAAAAAAAAATAATCGTATCGGTTACGCGAACAGATGCTATACAAATATCACGGTGCCCGATCGAATCGATTACCTTGATTAAATGTATTTGATTGCACCTGTGCTCTTCGTGCACGCGTTTACATCGAATGGCGCTGACTAATGATATTAAATCGTCGAGCCAATCTTTTTTATTTCATTTTGTTTCCTTTCCTTTGAAAAGATTCGGCAAAGTTACAGAAATTGCACGTAGAATCCGGACGACGGAAATCAGGTCGAACTAATTACGGAAGATAAGCCATCAGCACGGTCAAACTTTGACTTACAATAAGAAACCGAATTAAAGACTGATATGCTTTACTGTTTGTAATTGCTCGCCTTCAAACTTACAAGGCTGCATTCTCGAATAAAACATTTCTACGAAAACTTACCGTTCTTCTTATAAAACACAACTTCCATTTTCAGTTCCGTCTTGCTCTCGAGGCTCTTGTCGATCATTGCCCTTTCCTCCTCTTTCGTTTCCGGGCCGTACAGGAACTTGCAAGCGCAACCTTTCTGCATGATTTGCGCTCGCGCGAATCCTGTCAGCTCGCAGAAACCATCCGAGCAATAAACGATCGGGTAGATCGTCGGAACCTGCGCATTTCCCAGCACAAAGTTGCTGTCTGTCAACAAATAGAACGTTCGATTAAACGGAAGAACGTGCCTGTCGGTAGAACGGTCCTCCAAATGCCGAAAATTGCGTTCGAATTTCAATCGATCAACGCATTATATGGATTCGTTATTTCCATTATTTAGTTACGGAACAGCCAATTTTCGCCAATTAATCCCGCGCGAATCGTGCTTTTCTTTCATTATTGTTTGGTTTAACGGTTCCGACGTAGTCAGCAAGTCAATATCTCGCGAGCCTATACAGAAAAAAAGAACAAAAGAGGGATCGAAAAGAAAGAACTAAATAGCGAGTTCCGATGAAACTTTTAACACCGTGCAACTGATCAACCCGGCTTTATTCGTTACAAAGAGGTATTACGAGTACTTTATCCGTTCGGGTTCCTCCGTCGCAGGTTATATAACATTAAAATACGTTTAAACAGAAATAATTGAGTAAAGGAGAAGAAAAAGCGAAATTCTCCTGGGGATCATAGAGATAGGTTATAAGGTCAAAAGTGGAACAAAGGCACGCGTAAACAAGATTTTGATGATTACGTGGGGTAAAAGTGCGTGGCGCAAGAAGTTGATGCATGATTGCACCATGTGGTACACTTCATTGGTTGATAGCTTTGTCAACGTCTCTGACGTCACGCGTAATCATTCTCAGGGTAACGACGGTACTATTTTTAATTTTACGGCTACCCCTGAAACACGCTCCTTGTTTCTCCGTCTTGTGCGATTCCTTCCTCTCTCCACGCTTCCTCGTCTCGGAAGCAAAAGCAACGACACCGTTTATCGAACGGTTTCGGTTAAACAGATACGGATCTTTGGGTCGTCTTCGATTCCCTGACCGCAAGCCGAAATCATCTACGGTTCGGTGGAAGCGCAAAAAGTACTTGGAACTTTTGTTCGAGATAAATGTACACCGAAAGTTCGTCTTTGTTTTTTGGGTGGATGAGCACGTCCAAACAACGTCGCGTAACTTTTTATACAGTTAGTAGAACGGATCATGGTGACTGACAACGATTAAAACCACCCTTCACGCTGTGCGGAAAACAGTGACTGTTACGTGTCCGATATAGAGGGAGTTTGGCCGCGAAGGGTTGTAAGATAAAAATACTGTTTAAGGGTGAAGTTTGTACGTTGTTTGACTATTTAACTCGTTGCTTATTTTTGCGTTACCTTATCGATTAATTTTCAGTAATGTCATCGCGTCCGTATGCGTTTAATTTCGGTTTAAACGCTTTAATAACGTGCGGAAACGAATCGTTGAGTTAATTGCTCTTTTTGCTCGAATAGATTGCTAATTACCCGTTTATTACGACTACATGGTCACGAAACGGTGAGAGATTAATTCCGCTCGTAGAAGAAATGTTACGAGATACGTAAGCGAACATTGACTTTGACGGAGAATTATGTGTAATTACTTCGCCTGAGCGGTTCAACAAGAAACGTTAGAATTTCGTAGTTCCGCGATGACACGAAAGCTACACGTTATTTCGTTATTTTCGCGGGTATCTTTTCCCGGGTATTTACACGACCCCGTTTCGCGAAATCGTCGTCCAAATATTCGATTCGATCATGCACGTAGGTGCACTAGTCGTACGCGTATAAACTGCAGGGTCACGACAACGATAGCGTTTACGATCATCGCATCAGCTGCTAAAAGCAGCGTAAACGTTACAGTTTCAGCCAAGTCTTGACAAAGACTAATGGAACCGATTGTGTATCGCCTACGTGTCCGACACAGGTCAGCGTTAGAAAGTTTGGTTGCAAACAGCGATAAATAGTTAAAGTGTATGACGTAAAGAAACCGTAGATCGTAAAAAATTCGTTCTGCACGAATATGCGAAAGAAATTTGCGCGCGAAAACACAAATGAGAAAAGCAGCTTTGCCCGTTACGGATGAACGCACGAAAATCATATTCCTCCGTTTCATAAAAACCAATAATTCTCGCATGTCCATTTTCCTTCTTTCCTGACGACTTAATTCGATGTCGGTTTGAACGCGTAAATTCGGTTCGCCAAAAACGGTGGGATTCATACGGTCTCCGAATTCAGGACTGATGCGATTAAACCGAACCATAATTCGATCGAGCGCAATTAGCGAATATTTTCGGAACTATAATCCCGCTGGTCAAGATCAAGCAAATTTTCGTGTTTTCCTGTCGTTAATTGAAAAGCGATAACTGCTTCGTAAGTTGCTAGCCATATTTCCCGATAACCTCCAAATAATTAAGTGGATATGACGGTACGTTGCCACGGTTATTGTGGTTAATGCGGTTAAATTGATGTCCCGCTAGTTGCGTTGGATAGTTATATTTACGGCGCGAACACGTACGCGTAAATTCATAAATAACGATCGCCCTTTTACGTTCGTTTTTTCGTGTCTCTTTGTTAATTAAGCCTCGTGAATAAATATCGGTGCAGCAAAACCAGAGAGAACTAGACCGTGTTTTTGCCGTGATATCAACGTACACGGGGATTAAGAAAACGTAATAGGTACTTTGTTCGAAATTTGCGAACGTGTCGAAATTGGTATACCCGCATGGTAATGAAAAGCATGCGTTGTCTGTTTACGATGGTGATACTGTGGTTATACGGATTAAAAGTTGGTATTAACCATACATGTCGACCTTGCGCTTTTCATCACGTATCAGGGACTTTATTAAAGTCCTCGTAAATAAAGGGAGAGCTCTCTGCCTTTTCCCGTGTATCGTTCTTAATCTTTTGTTACGCGGATTAAAATTTACGTAGAAATTTTTATCGGATGTGCAAGTTTTTTCATCGACGATGGAACAGCGGAGATCGCGGTTCAGCCCTTAATGGATAAATTCGATACATTCCCGATAGGAAATTAATCCTAGAAAATAGAGGAAAGTGGCTGAATCGAACTGGAGGTTACCGCACGAATCCGACAAAGGAACGAAAATCTAAAGCAGTAAATTGTATCAACTCGTTGTCGATACGGTCGCGAGTTCACCCTCGAGCAAAGAGTGTATCGAAGGCTTCTTGTACGATCGAAGTCGAGATCCCGGCTCGTTTCGGTATGTCCAATTGATTCTTATCGGAGATCGGACGAAGAGAAGGGTATTATTTCAAAATTTCATCTTGACCAGAACGTTTCGATGAAATTAATTAGATTGTCGTAGCAATCGCGATCTGTCTTGACAGTTCCCATTGTCATGGACGTAATATTCTTGAAAGGATCGCGAGCAAAGGTTGACCTCCATTGCAAGACGAGTCTCCGTGTCTTTTTTGTACAGAGTAACCGAAAATACTCCCGTCTATTCGACGCAGAAACTTTTATCCCGTTTCTAGCACTTAGCGATAAACTTTGCATCTCTTTCACTCCGTTTCTCCTTTTTCTCTCCTTCTCTCCAGAGGCTAAACTTCTATTCCGGTTATTCGACCGTAAGCAATTTTTTAATGTAGCGCTAGGGCGCCTTCCGCGCTTTCCATCGATCCGTTTGTAATGAAAATTTTCTGGGCAAATTTTTACGCCGCAAAACCCGGTCCGAGTAAGAACGACATTTCGTATTTATAATCTTCGTTCTTCGATGCAATTTAAAGTGGAAGGTCGAGAGGGAGAGAGAGGGAGACTCATTACCAACGGGACTTTATCACCCATGATTGAGGTCGGTGACGATGATAACTTAGCAATTTCCACTGAGGTCGCACTGTACCGTTCCCCCTAATCAGATTTCTACAAAATTTCGAGTACGTGGAATTGTGAGGCAAATGGAACGGTCGGATTCTCGTTACGTTCTCTAAATTAGTTCATTTTACAAAAGTCTCGCCGCTACTTTCCATTATATGAAAACAGAAAAGTTGAATATCCCGCGAACCAATCGCGGATGGAACGGAGAAATATCTTTTCCAATAACTTTTTATAGATATCTGCTATAAAAGTAACGATCGAATAGAAATGGTCGGTTAAATATTTAATAAATCAATTTCGTTCCGGATCGAAAGGTATTCCAACCGGTTATTTGTAGTTGTTTCGTTGACGGACGAGCACAGATTGTAAGAGAAACTAGAAAGCTCGGAATTTCCTTTGAGAAGGTAGCCTGAGATAAAAGAAGGTTCTGTCCGTCTTCGTCGGTGTGGGGTATCCTCCCTTTCTCCCCACAACGAGTTAGATCTCCTTTTGCTGTATAATGCCTTCCTTAGACCGGAATATGAAGAGATTAAGCCTGCTAGTATCAAGTCCGCTGTCTAAGGGAACCCATACCGACTTTCCTCCACGGTATTGACTCGGTTAGTCGTACCTTTTCAAAAAAAGATCGCTAGATGCTCCTCGATTCGAAATCGTCGCCAACAGACTTTCATTGGTTGAGCGACGAATGCGTTTCATCGGGGGAAATGAAACGATTATCGATCGTACCTCTGTTCCGTAATCGTCCGTTGGCAATTTCGTTCCTTATGCAATACACCGGCTATTACATCGAATCGTAAACAATTTGTTCCCGTTGCAAACAGTAGCTCTGTAACGTATGTTGCCGACGTGTAAGAAGGAACGAGCTTTCAATCGATAGACGTATATACCTTTCCTACGAATAAACCGGCGTCATAACTTTTCGTCATTATCGATTACCACGATAAGATAAGTGTCAATGATACGGTGCAATCGTTAGACGTCTCTCTGTCGTTCCACGAAACTGAATCGAAAGTGTTTCGAGACTCGGTTGCAAATATTTCTGCGTTTCCACAACTTAGTTTCGTCGTTAAGCCGAAAATTCGATCGTACGTTTAGGAGGCTCGCGATATTCTCGAGGGAAGGAACATTTTCCAGCAGCTGGGATAATTTCAGTTTAAACCAGGTTAATGAACACGATGAAACTCAATGTTCCACACAATTACTACGACTCGTACTTTCCCACCATCAAAGTTTCCTCATTGTCAGTTTTCGCTATTAGATAGGTCAGAGGTTTAGCCAGTTAGAAAAGATTTTTCGCAGTTCTCCGCTCCTCTGTTGCTTCCCACGGTCGATATCAATTTCCAGCCTGGCAAG